GGCTTTATGTCTGGCTGCTTGTCCTCCAGCCTTCTCAGAAATTCTGTAAGCAGTCTAATACCTTTCAATAAATCCCAGTGAATACTTCAGTGAGTCAAAGCTGATTTCAGTTAGCTACAACCAAGAAAGTTTACTGCTTCAAAATTCAGTACCAGCAAGTAGGGTGTTGTCAGTAGCAAATGTTTAAACCGGTTTGAGTCAGGGTTTTTTGTTATTTGAAACCCAGAGCATCCCAACTGATCTCCCTGATTTTACTAAGAGTTAATGAGAAGAAACAAAGTGTTCCAAAAGATATCAGTCTGACTAAAATTTGTAAATGCGATATTTCATCACATGAACTTGTTATAATTTAATTGCTTATGTAAAACATACTTGTTAGGTAAAATTTTATTTGTTCACACAGATCATAAAAATGTTTATTCAGTTTGTTAACTTAAGCTGTTTATGAACTCACTGGCCTTTTGTTGGTTAATCCACCACTACAAATCCTGGATGGGTTTGCTTATCAAAGAGAATCTTCAGGGCTTCCCTGGTGGCGCAGTGGTTGAGAGTCCGCCTGCCGATGCAGGGGACACGGGTTCATGCCCTGGTCCGGGAAGATCCCACTTGCGGCTGGGCCCGTGAGCCATGGCCGCTAAGCCTGTGCGTCCGGAGCCTGTGCTCTGCAACGGGAGAGGCCACAACAGTGAGCGGCCCGCGTACCACAAAAAAAAAAAAAAAAAAAAATGTTTTCATTAACATTCATCAACGTATGAAAAAGGAGTAAATTTTTAAAGCCTATTTTACATTAAAATCTTTGCTATCAGAATCCACACCATCAAAATACAAAATCAAATTCCACTTAGATTATATGAGTTGGAAAAAATATATGAACCAAAATATCTAAATATAAACTAAAGTGGTGGCTATATGAGTGTATAAAAGTCATTCCAGATCTTTGAAGGACAGGTATGGATGATGTTTGATAGTAAAGCGACACTATCCATGTGAGTATGGGAATAATCAGGGTCTATTTTATATTTATAAAGTCTGGAAATTAAAAGAAGTTTCAGGGCTGTAAAAAAAAAAAATTGGTACTGTCCTTTAAAAGTCAGCAGTTGAAAAGCAATGAAAAAGAATAAACTTCTGATATACCCAGCAACATTGATAAACTCTGTAAATATTATATTGAGGAAAATAAAACCAGATGCAAAAGAGTATATGTTGTATAATTCGATTTATATGATGTTCAGAAGGTAAGCATAGATTGGGAAGAGAAGTGAGATAAACTTATGCGGTGCTAGAAATGTTTCTGTACCTTAATCTGGATGATGGTGATATAGGTATATGCATTAATCTGTACAGTTAAGTTTAGATATAATTAATGCTGTCATATTAATACACTTTACATACTTTACTACATATGTGTACCCAATTAATCAAGAAATTGCTCATCAGTCAGCCATTAAGTACATGTTGGTTATATAATAATAGAATTTATAAATCTTTGATTAAATATTGATAGAACTGAAGCTTCATAACAGAGGAACAATATCTGTTTCACTTAGCACTGGATACCCAGAGCACAACATATTCTACCAGGCACAGGGTGATGGAAAGGAGGGAACAGAGAGAGAGAGAAAGAAAGGACTTTATTTTAGCTATTTTTCAGTTTATGTATTGTAATTAATGCTGCCATCCACTTTGTGTATTTGGTTTTTTCCTTAATTTAGTAAAGGAGATGGCTTTGAGCAAGGCTGCCCCATAGAATGTGTCCACAGAATGGCTGGGATAAGGAAAAAGAAAATATTCTCAGCCCTTACTTATGCCTTATGAATAGGAATAACTGAAGAGAGAAAAGAGGATAAACTAACCAGAACCATAAGCTCCAGGACCAGAGCCCAGAGGAGGATCCTGTGATTTAAAGGAAGGAAAGATTTCATGCTTAATACCTGGGCCAAAAGACCAAATAATGGGAAGCTGCCCATGGGATGCACTGTAACTGGATAGAGTTTGCTTCTTGGAACTCCTGCTCTCTAGAGAAGAGTTTAACTGATCTGTTCAACCGGATGAAAGTGACAAGACGGAGGATGGGATTTCATATACCAGAAAATGAGGGGCCATGAATAAAGGCTAAGAAGTCTCTCTTCCTTGTCCTTGGGTGGTGGCAGGGAGTAACATTTCCCATAATATATGGAGAGGGTTAGTCTTTGAGCAGCTAGTATGAGCATCTTTATAAGAACTTGCTTGTGAAAATGGGCTTTGATCAATGTATTTTAGGTAAAAGGCAGAGCCCAGATTTTTGCCCAAGAGGAAGCAACTCTGTAGAAAAGAGAGTTGATGCTGACTGGGGGCTTTGGGGAAAATTGTCAAGATGAACCCCTCAGGCTTGCATTGGGTATAGGAGGGACTATGGCACGAGGAAAAATGTTGATAGAATTTTATTAATTTGTTGGCTGAATGATTTCTGTTGTAAACCCTCTTCACCATTTCCTCTTTCAAATCTTTGGTAAAATTTATGTGCTTGATTAATATTTTATCAAGCCTATTTTCTGTGTGGGAGAATGAGTATAAAAGCTGAGTCTTACTTTGAATTTAGCACTAATTGAAACTTTCTTTGTCTGTCCGGGCTGGTCTAACAGAATACCATGGACCAAGTGGCTTATAAACAACAGAAATGTATTTCTCACGGTTCGGGAAGCTGGGAAGTCCAAGATCAAGGTGCTGGCAGATTCAGTGTCTGCTGAGGGCCCACTTCCTGGTTCATACAACCATCTTCTCGTACCCTTACATGGTGGAAGGGGAAAGGGAGCTCTCTGTGATCTCTTTTATGAGGACACTAAACCCATTCGTTAGGGATCTACCTTCATGACCTAATCACCTCTCCAAAACCCCACCACCAAATAACATCACACTGGGGACTAGGTTTCAACATGAATTTTGGGAGGACACAAAGATTGCCTATAACAAACTCAGACTACGTGTGGATATGGCCAATATTGAGTTAGCCTCCATTTAGTCACTCTGGGTCTACCATGCTCTTTCTTAAGAGTCCCTGGGGAAGGAAGGGCACCAGGAGGGGACAAAAGAAAAGGGGAGACTGGGAATGCTGGACACAATGCAGAGTACTAACCACTATACGACCATGGCAGTGCTGCAAATCTTTTTTAAATTAATTAATTACTTTATTTTATTTTTGGCTGTGTTGGGTCTTCGTTGTTGCGCTCAGGCTTTCCCTAGTTGTGGCAAACAGGGAATATACTTCGTTGAGGTGCATGGGCTCCTCCTTGCGGTGGCTTCTGTGGTTGCGGAGCATGCGCTCTAGGTGCTCGGGCTTCAGTAGTTTTGGCTCGCAAGCTCAGTAGTTGCAGCACACGGGCTTAGTTGCTCCGCGGCATGTGGGATCTTCCTGGACCAGGTCTTGAACCTGTGTCCCCTGCATTGGCAGGTGGATTCTTAACCACTACACCACTCAGCGAAGTCCCAGTGCTGAAAATCTAATAGGGCAAGCTCCAAGGAGCTCTTGACCTGCTGGCCAGGCCCTCTTGGTCTGGACTGAAGATGGCCCATATAGTCCATGAAGCTCTCTTGTTTCATGGTAATACAGATGGCATATGCATAAACCTGCGAAGCAGCAAGTAAGAGACAAAGGGTTTCTTCCCAGGGTTTCTTATGGAACGTTGAGGATAAACCATAGCTCCCAAGAAAGACTGCCTAAATCCTGGCTCCTCTCTAGGGTTTATTATTTGCTAGCCTCCATCTTTTATCAAAGTCTTTCTTTTCTTTTTTTTTTTTTTTTTGCCTCCAACTGTTCCAATCTGGTTTAGCTGGGCTAGTTCAAGGAAAGAAGAGATCATGGCCGAAGTTTGGGCAGAGACGTAACAGTGCAGGAGCACCTCCCTGTGGCTGAGTGGCAGGAGAGCAAGAAACTTTAGCTCCTGGATCTACCCAAAGCAAGAGAGAAATGCAAGCAAATGATTTGTGGGAAGTGTAACTTTGGAGTTTATAAGTGGCATTTTCCCTAGACCATCGTGTCTTTAGCACCGCAGGGTTACAGACCATGAGGTCTGAAGTGCAGAAAAAAGATAGGTTCAGAATAGCCACTAAAGTATTTACTTTTTGATTTTTATGTATTTATTTTATAGAAATACAGTTGATTTACAATATCAGTTTCAGATGTACAATATTATATTAGTTTTAGGTGTACTACATAGTGATTCAATATTTTTCTAGATTATGCTCTATTCAAAGCTATTATAAAATATTGGCTATATTCCCTGTGCTGTATATTACATCCTTGTTATCTTATTTATTTTATACATAGTAGTCTGTACCTTTTAAAACTCCACCCCTATCTTGCCCCCTCCCTCCTTCCTTCCCGCCACTGATAAGTAATTTGTTCTCTATATCTTTAAGTCTATTTTGTTATATTCATTTCAATTTTTAGATTCCACATATAAACGATAACATACAGTATTTGTCTTTCTCTCCCTGACTTATTTCACTAAGCATAATACCCTCCAGGTCCATCCATGTTGTTGCAAATGACAAAATTTCACTCTTTTTTTATGGTTGCGTAGTACTCAATTGTGTATATATACCACGTCTTCTTTATCCATTCATCTGTTGGTGGACACTTAGGTTGCCTTCCATATCTTGGCTATTATAAATAATGCTGCTATGGGAGTTCCCTGGTAGTCTAGTGGTTAGGGTTCTGCGCTTTCACTGCAGAGGCCTGGGTTCAATCCCTGGTCGGGGAACTGAGATCCCACAAACTGTGCAGTGTGGCCAAAAAAAATGCAGCTGTGAACACTGGGGTGCATATATCTTTTCAAATTAGTGTTTTCGTTTTCTTTGGATATATACCCAGGAGTGGAATTGCTGGATCATATGGTAGTTCTAGTTTTAGTCACTGAAATTTTTAAAGCCATGAATGTAATTTAGCAGGAACACTATCACAGGCAATCATTTTTTGTTTTGTTGCTAAAGCTGTTGGATACATGTTAGAATGATTTTTTTTTGTCTGAGTGTATGACAGGAAAATAATGTTTAAATCAATATGTAAGTCAAAGCATCTCCACTAGCATTATCCATCTAGAAGGAAGTATTACATAGACAATAGTAAAAGGAAGGACATTTAGTCTATATTTTCAAATGGGACTTGATCATTTCAAGTTGTTCACTGGCAAAATTTTTCACCAAGTTATTATAGATTATATGCTACTTCATAAAAGATAGCAATAATGAAGTTTGGGTTTTTTGTTTTGTTTTTCAGTATCTGTCTTCAGAGAAAAGTCCTAAAACTTGTAGGGATTTCTGATGCCAGAAAATTTTGATATATAAGAGTATATTTAGCAATCAGGGTGACTTAGATCATGGTAAGTGGCATATGTGTAATTATAATTTGCATTCCAGTTATTTAAACTGAGATATCCTTGATCAGGTTGAACACACTGTGAGTAGAAGATCTCTTCTTCCAAGAAATAAGATGGAGACAGTCTTTGGAGAATGGCCTCACTGAACTGGTAAGTTAACTTTCTCCGGATTTTGATGACTTCCCCAGTCCTTCCATAATTCCTCAGTGCTCTGGCCATTTTCTGGTAAGTCATGGTCTTCCGATTGCCTTTTCTTTTCCCCCAAAGTTGGGCAAGTTTTTCTTTGTTTTTTGATACAAACTGAAAGATGCCTTTGGTTTGATCTATCCATTGAATACAAGATGCCATCTCGGGATTACACAGGGATTCATGAAGGTATTCAAACAGTCGGAGCTTCTTCCTGCCTAAAATAGAGGAAAACAATGTCATACTTCACCATGGCTCTACACAAGGAACATCCTCGGGAAGGGTTTGTTGAGTGACTACAGAATTCAAAGTTGCGTTGGGACTGGTTTTCTTCCTACTCACCCCTTAGAATGCATTTATGGTATCATTTTATGGGACTTGAAAATCAAGGGTCTATTTGGCCTACTGCAGTTTCAACTGAACCTTTCTTTGTTAGGGAAGTTGTCCAAAATTTTGTACCGTCCTTCACTGGAGAAGGGAAGCATGGCATCTCTCTACTCAAGTCTCCCATTTGTCACGTGGTCTTTTGTCACAGTTAAATCTTGACTTCTAATTTTATGTTGTATGTTAAACTGTCTACAGAACAACAAGACTGCGCAAAATAGACTGCAAAGTTTAGTGGTTTTAAAGAGAAGTCTCAAAAGCCATTTCCAAAAGACAACTCATTTGAAGGGGCTTTATTCAAATAAGTTAAGTCAAATGAGGTAAGGAAGGTGAATGTATTTGGCAAAATGTAAAACAGTGTGCAAATACAAATGAAATCAGTAACAGACATGTAAAAATGCTTACTCCGGTTCTGCATAACTACTTGAAAAAATAAAGAAGAGAAAAAAACCAGAGTCAAAATGCCAAAATATCTTCATGACATTTTGACATTATTAGTGAGCAATGACAGTGAGCGTTGTGGTATTTTTTCATTGCAGTGAAATAAGATGGTACTGCCAGAGTTTTTAATCTCTTTTAGGAGCACAGCCCTTTATATTTCAGAATAACTAGAAAGGAAACTTTGGGAAGATTTGTTGCTATGGTTTTTGCTTGTTTGGTGGATTGGAGAACAAAGGTGACAACCGGTTTTGTGACTTCTGAATTGGCCTGTAAACACCATGTCCCACCAGATCTGTCAGTAGCTAAAAGCTCCACAGCCAAATTCCATTTTCCCCTTGAGAAAGTAGAATAGTGGATTCTCAAACTGCTTTAAACAGTCTCTGGGGTGTAATACTCATGCATCTGTCATCATTCATCCAAAAACCTCAAACGTTTTTACAAAGATTATCTTTTGCGTTATATTATCTTGAGTTTATGAATTGAGAAATGAAAGGGACTTACCAAAAAATACATCATGAATTAAAGTCACAGCCTTAAAGAAGTTCTCTGGCTCTCACCCAGTGGTCAAATCAATTATGATGGATTCTCATCTTTAAAAGTTTGTTTTTCAATTTTGAAAAAAATGTTTAAGTTTTTACTTTTTGAAACTAAAAGTATTATATGATAAAAAATTCAAACAGAAGCACAAACGGAAAGTAAAAACTCCAATCTATCCTACATATTTCTAGAAAATAATTTGTTTTGCCTATATAAACATATGCATATCCTTTAAAAATTAAAAATGGTATCACAGTATTTTGTACTTTTTCCAGTGAATAATATATCTTAAATAAAATCATAGAACAATATAGAGATTAGCTATAGATAGAGGAAATACTAAACTGTTGACAAAGGTTACTTGTGGGGCATAGCATGGGAAGGAAGAACATTTTTTCACTTATTCTTTACATACTTCTGAATCAGTTGAATTCTTAATAATGAGCATTATTACTTTTGAATTATGGGATTAAAAAGGATTAAAACAAAACCCAAAATGTATTTAGAGCTCTTTCTGTTTCAATACTTAAAGTATGCCTTTTTCTCTTTAATAACTATATATGTTCTATTTTTATGTATGTACTATTTTTCTCTCAATAATGAATTCCCGAATTATTTTGAAATTTCATTGTTTTAAATGTATCACTATTTCAGGTGGAAGACTAAGCTCTAAAAACAGAAAATGGTAAATGATACATTCCCTAATGGCGAGATCCACAGCCGAAAACATCAGTGAAAAGATACAGGCGCCACACCCTGGCTTTAGTAACTGGTTGGTTTGTTTGTTTAAAAAAAAAATAGGTGACAGATGTAGAAGTGTTATTGGCCTCATATTAAATTACTACCATTATTTAATATTCAATAGTAATACTCAGTAGATTTACTTTACTTATGTGATTTTATACATTATTCCTTGCTGGATTAGAATATTACTGCATAGTTAGACTTTTACAATTCTAGGATACAGTATACTGTTTTATAAGAACAAAACTAGTTATCTCAAAAAATATTCATTTAAAATAATTTTAAGTATGGACAGCTACATGTAAAAGAATGAAATTAGAAGATTTTTCCACACATTTACAAAAATAAACTCAAAATGGACTAAAGACCTAAATGTAAGACCAGAAACCATAAAACTCCTAGAAGGAAACAAAGCACTAGGCAGAACCTCTTTGACAAAAATTGTAGCAATATTTTTTTTGATCTGTCTCCTAAGGCAAAGGAAACAAGAGCAAAAATAAACAAATGGGACCTAATTAAACTTAAAAGCTTTTGCACAGCAAAGGAAACCATCAACAAGACAAAAGGGCAACCTACTGAATGGGAGAAAATATTTGCAAATGATATGACCAAAAAATGGTTAATATCAAAAATATGTAAATAGCTCGTGCAACTCAATATCAAAAAACAAACAACCCAATTAAAAAATTGGCAGAAGAACTGAATAGACATTTTCCCAAAGACATACAGATGACCAACAGGCACATGCAAATCTGTGCGATGTTTATGCTCAACATCGCTGAAGATTCAGAAATGCAAATCAAAACCACAATGAGATATCACCTCACACCTGTCAGAATGGCTATAATTTAAAAAAAAATCACAAATAACAAATGTTGGCAAGGATGTGGAGAAAAAGGAGCCCTTGTACACTGTTGATAGGAATATAAATTGATAGAGCCACTGTGGAAAACAGTGGGGAGATTCCTCAAAAACTAAAAATAGAGCTACCAGGGACCTCCCTGGCGGTCCAGTGGTTAAGACTCCGCGTTTCCAATGCAGGGGGCTTGGGTTCAATCCCTTGTTGGGGAGCTAAGATCCCGCGTGCCGCATGGCACGGCCAAAAAAAACAAAAAAAGAACTACCATATGACCCAGCAATTCCACTCTTGGGTATATATCCAAAGAAAATGAAAACACTAATTTGAAAAGTTACATGCTTTCCAATGATCATAGCAGCATTATTTATAATAGCCAAGATATGGATGCAACCTAAGTGTCCATAAACAGATGAATGGATAAAGAAGATGTATATATACATACAATGGAATATTATCCATTAAAAAAAGAATAAAATCTTGCCACTTACAACAAAGTGGATGGGCCTAGAAGGTATTATGCTAAATGAAGTAAGTCAGAGAAAGACAAATACTGTATATTATCTCTTATATGTGGAATCTAAAAAATAAACAAAAAAAAATTTAAAAATTAACAAATGAATGTAACAGAATAGAAACAGACTCACAGATATAGAGAACAAAGTAGTGGTTACCAGTGGGGAGAGGGAAGGAGGGAGGAGCAAGATTGGGGTACAAACTACTACGTATAAAAGAAATAAGTTACAAGGATATACTATGCAGCACAGGAAATAGAGCCAATATTTTATAATAAAAATGCAGTACAAGCTATAAAAATTTTGAATCACTATGTTGTAAACCTGGAACTAATAATATAAATCAACTATACCTCAATTAAAAAATAAAAAATAAAATAAATTTTTACAAAAATAATAATTTTAAGTAGCTATGATAAGGGATCGTTTTTTAAATTACACTATAAAATTGGGATGCATCTTATATGTCTTTGTATATCGGAGGTAATTTACTATCACAAACAACATTGCAAGGAACATCCTAATACATATATATGCACACACATGCATCTAAGGTATTTGGGGAAATATCCATAGTGCCGGACTATGAGCCTAATGCTTTACGTGGATCTTCTCACTTAATTTTTCTAGCAACCTTACAATGTCTGTACAATTATTATTATTTGTTTGGTTGTTTTTGAATAAGGAGACTGTGGTACAGAAGGTTAAGTAAGTGATTTGGCCAGGGTCACATAATCAACCCAGAGTTCACACTATATAACTCACACTAAGTGAGTTATATAGTCACTAAGAGTCAAAAGATATGAACATTTAAAATTTTGGTAGGTATTGCTAAATTGCCTTACAAAACTTTGTAAAAATTTATACTCTCTTTAATAATGCATGTGAATGTGTGTGGCCCACATCTTAGCCAACAGAGGCTATTATCCTACTTTAACACTTTTGCCTACCTGTTCGATGAGATCATCTTCATTTATGAAATCAAGATTTCAAATTTATGAAATAAAGTTATGATGGAACTTGGAAAACTTAATAGAGATGATTAAGTTTGTGGAGAACTTAATAGAGATGATTTATATCCTGAGGGCTTCACAGTTGAAATAAAACTGCTAAAATAATTTACGGAAAAGTTCTCCCTTCTATACTTAAAATTTATATAACTTATTCCTTTTTTATTGAAGTATAGTTGATGTACAATATTATATAAGTTACAGGTTTACAATATAATGATTCACAATTTTTAAAGGTTATATGACATTTAAAGCTATTCTAAAATAATGGCTATATTCTCTGTGTTGTAGAATATAGCCTTGTAGCTTATTTTATACATAATACCTCTTAATCCCCTACTCCTATACTGCCCCTCCCCGCAATGGTAATCACTCGTTTGTTCTCCATATCTTACATGTTATTCTTGAATACAGATTTATTTGACTGAAGTGACACTTTGCACCTTTACAACATCTCTATGAAGCTATAGGAAAGCTCACCCAAGATAAACAGCTTGGAGTAGTTTGTCTGTCAGAGTTAAATTACTCTCAACTGTGAGAAGAGAATATTTTGCAAATCAATTCCAAACTCAGATATGAAATTCCCTTAAAGCTGCTTTGATGAAGATTTGACTCTTTTACCTATGCGAGGAGTAATGGATCCACATACCTTTTCCTCCCTTTTGCTGGAGAAGAGTAGGTTGCACCAGCTGGTTTTCAGGGATGTTCTGCAGAGACTGATGAATATTTCCTTCAAAATAGAGGTCCGCAGCACTGTTCTATATAAATAATGTATCAGGATGTTAAGTGGGACTTCCCGTGTGGCCCCCAATTATGGCCAAAGTCAAAAGCTGAGGGCAAAAAGAGTGTTCAGCATCTCTCGAATTCTGAAAATCCCTACCTTCAACTGCTGTCTCCCAGGGCAGAGCTAGCATCAAACCCATATATGGAGAGGGCCAAGGGACAGAGGGTAATCTGAGGCTTTGTGAGGAGTTCTGTATCTTCCCCTCCTTATGAGAAAGGAGGGTGGGTTGCTTCCCTCCTTTCCCCTAAAAATGCCCAGCAAGAAAGATCCAAAAGAATCATTAGTAGAAACTGAGGCGCCAGCAAAAAGGGAAGATGGGCTTCCATTCCTGAGCTGGATGCCCATCTGGCAAGAGAAGGTAAGAGGAGAAAGATGGCAGCTGAGGGAGGACAGAGGCAAGAGAGGCAGGAAGAAGCAGCCTGAGTTCCTACCATTACATATGGCAAGGAAATGTGGGCCTCCATGGGTTAACTAGACATGGTGGTGGAAGGGGGTGGACTTGAACCCTCCTTATACAGGAGGGCTGCCCAGCAGGTAAGGAGTCCCCACCACAAGAGGCTGTGCAGTGTATGCTGGGGATGGAAGCTGAAGTGGAAATAGGGTAGCCAGATCTAGCAACTAAAAATATTAGGCATCCTATATTTTACCTGGCAACCCTAAGGGGAGGTGAGAGAGGTTAAAGTAAAACGAAAACTCCCTCTTTAAAGAAATGTCTTGTTGGAGAGGCCCAGATAGTATAATTTACAGGGACAGAAAAAGGACATTTGACATACTATGGTTGAAGGTAATAACTGAAAAAAAACCTTTTTTTAATATTTATACTCTACCACATTAAGACTGCTTGATAAAAGGGACACATCAAGGAAACAATGCAGGTAATTCCCTGGCAGTCAAGTGGTTAGAACTCGGCGCGTCCACTGCAGGGGGCATGGGTTCCATCCCTGGTCAGGGAACTAAGATCCCACATGCCGCAACATGGCCAAAATAAATACATAGATAAATAAGAAGAAGAAGAAAGAAAGAAAGTAAACAATGTAAAAGAACACATGGAAGGAGAGGTAGATGGTGGGGACACTCCCGTTTGCAGAAGGCTACTAAAATAGAAATGAATTGGTCCACTACACATAGCTAGCTCTGAGCTTGGGAGGGGAAATAGAGCAGGTTAATACAAGATTGTGGGTAAAGCCAGTGCAGGGAACGTTTTAGGGGATCCATAACTTTCCTGCAGCTTTTCGGATGGACTGAGGAGAAGCATTGATGTGAGAACCCTAAAATACCTCCTCTATAGAAATCATTCAAACCCATCTGAAGTCAGATGAAGAACAATGATAAAGCGCAGTTTCCTTCTTGACAGCATTGATGGTCCCCCACACTGACCATCAAATTCACCAAGGGGAAGGCTGGGACAAATAGGAAATTTGCCTGTTACTGAGGGATGCTGGTCCCCTGGTAAAAGTACTCACTATTACTGTTCTCCAATTGTAGACCGGTTCCTCTGTGGGCAGCACACCATAGCTGTTGGAATTTCCTCTGACATGAGAACAGTGGTTGATGAAAGCCAGGTAATTTCTGTAATCTATTTAAAAACAGAGAAAGAAACTGACAAAGTCAAAGTTTCTATTTGTGTGTGTGTGTGATGCTTATACATGTTTATATGCTTATATACGTGATTGCTCTTGGCATTTTTATATTGAGATGTTAAATTTATTTAGGATAAAGAACATAGGCAGATCTGTCTCCTAATGCAAAAGAAATAAAAGCAAAAATAAACAAATGGGACATAATTAAACTTAAAAGCTTTTGCACAGCAAAGGAAACCATTGACAAAACAAAGACAACCTACACAATGGGAGAAAATATTTGCAAATGATGTGACTCACAAGGGGGTTAATATCCAAAATATATAAAGAGCTCATATAACTCAATATCAAAAAAATAAACAACCCAATCAAAAAATGGGCAGAAGACCTGAATAGACATTTCTCCAAGGAAGACATACAGATGGCTAATAAGCACATGAAAAGATTCTCAACATTACTAATTATTAGAGAAATGCAAATCAAAACAACAATGAGAAATATCCTCACACAAGTCAAAATGGCTATCATCAAAAAGTCTACAAATAATAAATTCTGGAGAGGATGTGGAGAAAAGGGAACCCTTGTATGCTATTAGTGGGAATGTAAATCGGTGCAGCCACTATGGAAAACAGTATGAAGGGTCCTCAAAAACACAACTACCATATGATTCAGCAATTCCACTCCTGGATATATTCAATATACCTGAAGAAAATGAAAACTAATTCAAAAAGATACATGCATCCCAATGTTCATAGTAGCACTATTTACAGTAGCCAAGACATGGAAGCAACCCAAGTGCCCAATCAACAGACAAATGGATAAAGAGGATGTGGTATATATATACACAATGGAATATTACTCAGCTATATAAAAAAAATGAAATTCTGCAATTTGTGGCAACATGGATGTACTGAGAGAATGTTATGCTTAGCGAAATAAGTCAGACAAAGACAAGTGCTGTATGATATCACTTATATGTGGAATCTAAAAAATAATACAAACAGAAACAGATATATAAATATATATATATAAATAAATATATATATATAAATATATATATAAATATATAATATATAATATTATATTTATTATAATAATATAATAATAAATTTATATAATAAATATAAATAAATATAATAAATATAAATATATTTATAAATATAAATATAAATAAATATAATAAATAAATTTATTATAATAATATAATAATAAATATAATAATATTATATTTATTATATATATAATATTATATTATAATATTATATATAAATATATTTATATAATATATATAAATATATATATATATATAAATATATATAAATACAAACAGATATAGATAACAAACTTGGGGGCGCTTCCCTGGTGGCGCAGTGGTTGAGAGTCTGCCTGCCGATGCAGGGGACACGGGTTCGTGCCCCAGTCTGGGAAGATTCCACATGCCGCGAAGCGGCTGGGCCCGTGAGCCATGGTCGCTAAGCCTGCGTGTCCAGAGCCTGTGCTCCGCAATGGGAGAGGCCACAGCGGTGAGAGGCCCGCGTACCGCAAAAAAACAAACAAAAAAGAGTCTGCCTGCCAACGGGTTCGAGCCCTGGTCTGGGAAGATCCCACATGCCGCAGAGCAACTAAGCCTGTGTGCCACAATTACTGAGCCTGTGCTCTAGAACCCGTGAGCCACAACTAATGAGCCTGTGTGCCGCAACTACTGAAGCCCGCGTGCCTAGAGCCCGTGCTCCACAAGAAGAGAAGCCACCGCAATGAGAAGCCTGTGCACCACAACCAAGAGTAGCCCCTGCTCGACGCAATTAGAGAAAGCCCATGCGCAGCAACAAAGACCCAAGGCAGCCAAAAAATATAAATAAATAAATTTAAACAAAACAAAAACAAACTTGGGGCTACAAAAGGGGAGAGGAAAGCAGAGAGGGACAATTTAGCAGTGTGGGATAAACAAATACAAACTACCAGCAGAAGGGGACTGACATCTTTACCTGAGGAGTACTGAAGATCACCAGTTGAATGTTGCCTCAGTACTTCAAAAGCATCTTCAAATGCTTGACCCAGCTTGTCTTGTTCAACACAAGCCTGTGAGAACAATTGCAGAACTCTGGAGTTAGGAAATTACCAGTAGAACTTAATTTTCCTGATATAAAGGAGGGTTTCTCAACCACAGCACTACTGACATTTTAGATGGACCAAGACTCTGTTGCAGAGGGGTTGCCCTGTGCATTGCAGGGTGCTAAACGGCATCCCTGGTCTCTACCCACTAGATGCCAGTAGCACTCCCACAGTTGTGACAAACAAAAAATGTCTCAGACATAGCCAAATATACCCTGGGGAACAACATCAACCCTGGCTGAGATCCATTGCTCTGTAACATAGTATTTAGAGAGCAACCTCATTCTATAGTATAGTATTCAACATTTTATAAATTTTTAATAAGGAGTTATATAGCAGGAGACTGATTTGGAAAAAGGGATCAGGGAAATATCTTTAATCAAACAGAATCTGAATCATTATTTAAAAATGAAATGCTCTAAAAAAAAAAAAAAAATGAAATGCTCTTAATTTCAAAAGCATGCCTCCAAGACCTAAAATTGAACTGTTTTGCAAACCATTTCATACCCTTATTAATCTAGCCCATATATTTTATTTTCAAAATGGAGGAAGAGTAAAGATTTTTAAATGCCAACTTACCATGCTTCATTAATAAATTGACAATTCTGAAAAAGATTAATATTTAAAAAACAAAATTAAATAGTGTTTCTATTTAATTTGCCTCTGAATTAAAAGACTTTACTTAAAATATTTTCTGAATATACCTTATATAAACCAAAAGTACCGTCTGAATTCTCTTTGATGAGTACAAATTTTCTTTCTACAGAAATTTCCTACAAAAATTTATTTTTGCTTTTCTGTCATCACAAAACTTTTTTTTAATTAATTAATTAATGTATTTATTTTGGCTGCATTGGGTCTTTGCTGCTGTGCGTGGGCTTTCTCTAGTTGCAGAGAACGGGGGCTACTCTTCGTTGTGGTGCACGGGCTTCTCATTGCGATGGCTTCTCTTGTTGCAGAGCACGGGCTCTAGGAGCACAGGCTTCAGTAGTTGTGGCTCGCGGGCTCTAGAGAGCAAGGTCAGTAGTTGCGGCGCCATGTGCTTAGTTGCTCCGCGGCATGTGGGATCTTCCTGGACCAGGGCTCGGACCCATGTCCCCTGCATTGGCAGGCGGATTCTTAACCACTGTGCCACCAGGGATGTCCTACAAAACTTCTTAAGTGTTAAATAGCTACATATGTATAACTGAATCACTTTGCTATACATTTGAAACTAGCACAACATTGTAAATTAACTATACTTCAATAAAAAGAGATTAAAAAATAAATAAAATAGCTAGAGTTAATTACACAAACTATATTGATATGAAAATATAGAAATAATTCGAGTATGTTTAAGTATTTTTAAATTCTTTTAAATATTAAAGTATTAAAAAGTTCTGGAAATCAAAATCTTTTTTACCTTAGCATGGCTCTCCATTTATAACAGTGATTTTTTTTTTTTTTAAGTTTCTGGTGTCATATGGACTTCTGAGAATCTGGTGAAAGACATGCTTTTTCTCTCATGAATGTGACTTTACATTACAAATAAAACGTACTCTATGAAAACTGTCGGTGGACTTTCTAAAATCCTAGGTTAAGAACTCTGGTCTACAATTTTACATTATTTACATTCTTATCTCTGTAAGTAATGTAGATTTTGTTTTAAATAAGCAATTATCATACTGACCCACATTAAATGTTTTCAAACTTTGTTCTATAGAACTACACAAAACAAACAAATCCACATAACAAGAAAGAGCGGGTGGTGGGTCCACATTGCTTACCATTTCATTTAGCACATGAAGCAACTCTGTTTATACAAGTTTTTAGCATTTATCCTGCAAACACAATGAGCTTACTCTTTCATATTTAACACTGCATAATATGATTAGATGATATAATCTAATGCTATTATTATACATATCCATAATGTAGCAATACAATATGTCAAACATCGAAATTCTATTCTGCTCTTTGAAATCACTATGTCATTTAAAAGAGAATATGAGAAGAAAAACCATAAAAAAAGGTAACTATGGGAGGTGATGAATGTGTTAACTAATTTTACTGTGGTAATCCTTTCTCAGTGTATATGTATGTCAAATCATCATGTTGTACACCTTAAACTTACACAATGTTATATGTCAATTATATCTCAAGAAAGCTGAAAAAAAATACAGCTTCTCAATGTGGGAGATGTTGAAGAATTTAGCAAAAACTTTAAAAAAAAGAAGAAAATCCATAAATCACATTTTGGGCTATAGTCCCTAATGAATATTATCAGTACATAGGTTTTAAAAGGCCATGTCAGTAACTTTCAATTAATTATGCCTCAGCTCATAAGCACCGAAGCAAATACATACTCAGGTGAGTGTTGTACTTTGAATTAAATACTTAAATGAGACTACTCCCTTTGACTAAAATACCCCACAAAACTATCATGACTCTTAAAAGTAGCAAACCCAAAGGGAAGAAAAAAGCTTGAAAACATTATTGATCACTTCAATTGCTTAATATTTCTAGTATTGGAACAGGCAGTCAATGAGAAACACTCATTAGGCCAGAGAAGAAAATTAACACTTATTACAAAGAATTTTGAAAAGCGTAAACTAAACACTTACCAGGAAGACACTTCAGCCCTTTACCAAGTTGTTTCATTAATATCAGAAATAAGACAGAACTGTCAAGAGCTCACTGGCAGAGTTTCATTAAGTAGCTGTTTTTAAGGAAGTGCTACAAAAGGGGATTTTTTTTAAAAGATACAGTGCCTTCATTATTTCTATTTCATGATATGGCCAGTGGACACCAGAGGCTATTATTTTGAAGAGGCACAGAATATTTGTATCCTATGGGCCAAAAGCATTAGAACAAATCCCATGAAACCCGCCTGCCACCGAGCATAATTTGTGGCTCCTCCGGCCTACACAGCCCCACTGGGCACCTCTGACCTGTACAACCCTTGTCCACCTTTCTTTTTCTATTACTCCTATTATTTCTCCCCTGATTCTGGAGCCTACGTTGCTTTTCTTGCCTGAACTATTAACAGCCTTCACTCTGGTCTCTTTCCTCTCAAACCGCTTTACTTCTAATGTCGTTCACTGATCGCCCTACTTAGAGATCTTAAAGGCGCAGACCCTTGCCCTGGCATTCGAGGCTCCTCATTCCAGCCTTAATCTTACTTACCACCATGCATTTAAGAGGAGGAAATGAATCCATGCTATGGTCTTCCCTTCTTACCTGGATCCAGTAACAACTCCAAAACAGGAGAAGCTTCTGGGTAGTGATCTGATTGGACATGCTTGAAGCTGCTGCACTTATAGATCAGGTCCAGTTCTCTTATTTAGCTTGAACGTTTATTTGGGATGGTTTTTGGTGGCTCTGATGGAAATTATTGGGGACTTCCTCCACCTATAATTCTTCCTTCCCAGCCCATCCATCTGCCCATTTACCTATTTTATCTTACCTGTCCATCAGAGGCCAATCTAACATTTAGGTATAGTCCAGGTGGAAATAACTTTCCTCTCTGAAGCGCAGGTAGGCAACACCCTTAAGTAACTGTAACCTTCTGTCATTTTAATAGATGTCACATTTAGCCAGGGGGAAAACCACCTAAGAATTTTTTGTAAATGTTATGGGTGGGGAGAGAGATTTTCTGTTTTGCATAGTTGGAATCTGAGCTCACCTTTGATATGGGACTATTGTTCTACACCAATTACTTTTTTGACCGAGTTTTATTATGCAAATGTAAACACACATCCCCTCTTCTGAAATGTAGATGTTTAAGTAAAAAGTGTATAAAACCAAATCGCGAATGTTGATGAGTTTTTAATCTGTACCATCGCCAGTCTACGCCCTTTTCGTGCCACTTTATTTTGTTTGGTTCATTTAGTCAACAAATATATATAAATGAGCTCTTTGCCAGACACTGTCCTGAGTCCAGGGACCACAGCCCTGAACAAGTTCTGGTGAGGAAAAATGATTTTTTTTTTAAAGCAAACTAGAGAAGTGTTATTAACAATAAGTACTGAGAAAACAGTAAGAGAACGGTCATAGTAAGTGTATACAGTCATGGTGAATGGTCACAAAAATTTTAAGGGAGTGTGTGTGAGCTGAAATCCAAGGATAAGAAAGAGTGAGCAAAAGAAAAGCAGAAATGCAGCGAAGCACCTCTAGTCAGAAGAAACAACAGCCGCCAAGAGCCTTAGGTGGAAACGAGTTTGGTTTATTCAAGGCACAAACAAGAAAGCCAGTGCAGCTGGAGCAAAATGAGTGTGGGGTCCAAGAGGCAAAGTTAGAGAGGAAGGAGGAAGGATCCAGATCAATCCACACATCAAGCCAAAAAATAATATAAAACTTTTTCAAAAGAATCTAAACATCACATATGATAGTAGTTACCTCCTTAGCTCCATTTCACAGATGAAGAATCTAAACCGAGGATCAAAGACATTTCATGATTTTTTTTTCTAAGGTCCAATTGCTAGTGAGAAATGGGCTGGGCTGGGTCCAGATTTAGGCCCAAATGACTTCATGCACACGCTCTCAACCACGTTGGAGCCCTATGTCCGCAGATTAGGTTCCATTGGACTAGGGTTCTTAGTCCCGACGGCAGACTTCATAGCACCCGGCAGATTCTCATAGTAGTACAAGCTTGTTATGTATTTGAAATCAATGGGAAAAAGTCAATTTTCTAAGCCAACATTTTCCCCAACAGGTGTCTCCAAAGTTTTATTCTGCAAGATATAAATAAATGGACCCTGAAAAAGAGTTGAGCAAAACCAATGAGCACATCATGTTTTGGGGGCACAATTCTATATTACAGATGAAAAATAAAAATGCAGTTTTGAGTTCTTTGTAAAGATAAAGTATGAAAATGCTTTCAGCAACTTAAAAAAGAAATGATACACTGTCCTTTTAGCATTCTAGAGAATAAGGCTCCTATTCCTTGAGAACCTGATGAAAGCTATGATGAGCTCTTTCTCCAGGAAAATGCCATCAGCACATTTTCAGGCAAACTCTCAGTCAGGCCAATAGAGCCCAGTTTAGGAACTCCTACTGTATTGTAAATATTTTCAAAGCCTTCTTATCTAAGGACTGCTTCTTGAGACACTTGTACCCAATACACACACAAAGCATCTTTTTAGGGGTGGTCATTAGTGTTTCTGTTCACTCTAGAAATGAGCTGAGTAACAAGAGCTCTACAGAGAGGATCCCTGATCAACAGATTCTTTTTTGCAGAAGTTCATTGTCCTCAGTGGCAACTGATATTATTTTAGAAAATTGTAAGCAACAGATGTGGTGGAGTCTACATCCTATGGTGCCAAGCTTCAGGTGGAAAATTGCTTTTTCTGAGAATAGAGAACTTCAGAACCCAAGAAAAGGAGACTAAATTCAAGCTCTTATCTTTCTTTGCAGTTTCTATTTAAATAATTCGATTCCGGGTTTCCCTGGTGGCGCAGTGGTTGGGAGTCTGCCTGCCGATGCAGGAGACGCGGGTTTGTGCCCCGGTCCGGGAAAATCCCACATGCCGCGGAGCGGCTGGGCCCGTGAGCCATGGCCGCTGAGCCTGCGTGTCCGGAGCCTGTGCTCCGCAACGGGAGAGGCCACAACAGTGAGAGGCCCGCGTACCGCAAAAAAAAAAAATAATAATAATAATTCGATTCCTTAAGGGACTTAAGAAGTGGGTCTTAATCTTAGTAAGACCTCTGAAAACCTAATAAACAAATAATTTTGCAAGACCGGGAAGAAGGTGCTAGAAAATTTGTTATGTCTTAGTAGAATTCATAGAACCGTAGGTTATGAGACAAATCGCTAATCCTCACCCTCATTTTAATAATAACTTCTACTAGATTACTCTTTGAAATTTATTGAGACTTGTTTTGTGGCCCAATATAGGGCCTATCTTGTTCCATTTGCACTTGAAAGAATATGTGTTTTATAGTTATTATATGTAGTGCTGGATAAATGTCAATTCGATCAAGTTGGTTGATAATGTTATTCAAATCATCCATATCCTTACTGATTATTTTCTCTGCATTTTTTTTTTTTTTTTTTTTTGCGGTACACGGGCCTCTCACTGTTGTGGAGCACAGGCTCCGGACGCGCAGGCTCAGCGGCCACGGCTCACGGGCCTAGCTGCTCCGCGGCATGTGGAATCTTCCCGGATCGGGGCACGAACACGTGTCCCCTGCATCGGCAGGCGGACCTTAAACCACTGCGCCACCAGGGAAGCCCTTCTCTGCATTTTCTATCGATTACAGAGATTACAAAGAGGAATGTCAAACTATAGTTGTGGATTTGTCTATTTCTCCCTTTAATTCTGTCAATTTTTGATTTCATGTATTTTGAAGCTCTATTATTAAATGCAGACTCATTTAGAACTGTTATGTGTTCCTGATGAATTGAGCCTTTTATCATTATAAAATTTCTCTCTTTCTTTTTTGCAATCCTTTCTGGTAGTCCTTGAAGTCTGCTTTGATAGTAACCACACTAGCTTTCTTATCCTTTTCACTTTCAACATGTTCTCTTTATCTGTCTTTATATTTAAAGTATGTCTCTTTAAAGCAGCATAGAGTTGGGTGCTGCTTTTTACCTAGTTTGATGATCTCTGCCTTTTTAGTGTTCAGTCCAATTTAGTAATTACTGATATAGTTAGGATTAAATCTACCATCTTGCTATTTGTTTTCTATTTGTTCTGTTTATTTTTTGTTCCTTTGTTCTTCCTTCCCTGCTTTCTTTTGGATTAAATAAGTATTTTATTATTTCATTATATTTCCTTCATTAGCTCTTTATAATGTCATGGTAAAATAACGGTATGACATACTTCTGTAATTTATCTTTAGCGGTTACAATATGCATTCTTCATTTATCAAGTCTACCACTATTATACCACGTCATGTATAAGAAACTGTTATACCACTTCATAATGTAAGAAACTTACCACAGTATAATTCCATTTACATCCCCTCCTATCCTTTGTGCTACTCCTGTCACATATTTACTTCTACATAGGCCAGCGTAATAGATTATTTAACCCTCACAATAATGCCCTGGGTTCCAACTGTGGCTCCATTGCACCTATCTGTGTAAACTTGGACAAGTTATTTAACCTCCCAGTTTCCTCTATAAAGTGTAGATAATGATTTTACTTACCACATAGAGTTATTGTGAAAATCTGAGTGAATTCATGTCATGTACTTTGGACAGTCCAAGCATTTAACAAATGTTGAACGAACGTTAGGTCCTGCTTTATAATTATCGCCGTATTGCAGATGAAGTAACAAAGCCTCAAGGGAAGTTAAATGACTTAAGATCACACAGTGAGTGATAGAAATGAAGGCTTTCAAACCAGTTCTACCTGACTCCAACCAAAGCCTTTTAACCATTCAACCAGAATTTGCTTCCTTATCTATGGAGTAAGACTGAGAACAAGCATGAGAACAAGAATTCGCTAATGGCCTTATGTCAAAGGGCTCTTGAGAGGTTTTACTGAGATAGCATAGGAACAGAGTAGTAAACACACCCGATGGTAGCTATTAATCACAAAACTGCTCCTATTTACCACACTTGGGACCCTCACCACACCTGGGACCTTCACCACACCTGAGACCTGCAGCCACCTGGCAAGTGGCAGAGCCAGGACTCAAACCCAGGTCTTTCCTGCCATGTCTGGTGCCTCTTCCCAAAAACCAGGTTGTGTAAAAATTCTCCATAACAACATGGTAAATCAACTATACTCCAATAAAATTTTTTTTCAATAAAACTTTTTTAAAAATTAAAAAAAAATAGGCAAAGGCAAGAAAACGAATTCTCCATAGGCTCTAGTATTTACTGTAATTACTGTAATAGCTCCCACCACTGCTCACACCAATGGAGGAAACTCCTCTGACACAGGACTGGTAAAAAAAAGCCACCCAGCTCCACAGAGAGGCGGGGAGCCAGCAGATTTACTCTCCTGGTTTCTGTGGAGGCGCTGAAGGAGTGCTGGTTTGTTAGTCCTGTGTTCAGAGCCATGACAGAGCCTGTGCAAGGGCTGTCTCTAGTCCTAAAACAGCTAAGTTCTGACAACCTACTGGTGTACCTGCTGCATTCTAGGCAGGCAGCGGTGAGCTAACCCATTGTGAAATTTGTATACATCTTTATCTGGAACCCCAAGAGCAAGAATGCCTCTCCACTTCAGCCCTTCCAGCCTCAGAAGCTTCTGAAACTAAACCATTCACTGGCCTGGGAAAGGGAAGAGGAATGTCTCCTCCCTCTTACTGGGGTCATCATGCATATTTTCACTTTCTAGTTCACTAAGAAGACAGGCTTGCAAGTGATTCTGCTTCATCTCCAGGCCCTTTTGGCTAGGATTTTTTTTTTCCTAGCGATTTGTGAGTGGCAATTCCCTATGTTTTAACAAAACCGGTTAGCAGGGCAGATATCTTTCATTATGGAGAAGCGGCATCCCATTCCCACAGAAGTTAACTGGGTAGGGAACTGATAGGGACGGGGTGGGGAGGGGATTCTCTGAGCTCAGAATAGTTTGGGAAATTGACACATTAATGGGATCCCAAGTTACAGCTGTGTGCCTATAACAGCCTAGACGTTTCTGGTTCCAGTTACTAATCGTCATATTTACAGCTTCTCTATATTTAACTTTTATCAGATAACCACAATTAGCAATGAAAATACTCATTAAAAGAGAAATCTGTAGAGTGCCTTTTGGTATGGTTAGAAAAGAGAGAAACCTTTCAAAGACTTTCTTCAAGGGGTTCTCAGTACTGTTTTGCTCCAGTTTTTTACAACTTTCCTATAATCTTCATTATAACAACCACGATAATATAACCTTACACTTTCATAAGATTCTGTCATTTCCAGCATTATCTCTGCTATAGTACCTTGCCAACTTTGGGCGGCAGGTGGAGGGAGCAAATCTTACATGTCTTTTGCTTTCCCAAAGCAGGTGGTAAAACACTATAACACAACATAGGGCTTCAGTGGAGGTTGGATGGGTGAATGAGTACATTGTATCACTGAACTCTCACAACCGCCCATAACGCTGGCAGGGCAGGTGTTATTCCCATTTTGCCGGTGAGGAAACTGATGCCCAGGGAGATCAGAGGTCACTCAGTGAGTGAGTGTTAGGTTTAGAATTGGGATTTCCTTGTTCTCAATTCAGCTTTTCAGATATCGTCTCTGGGGAACATTGGCAGATACCAACTAACTTTTTTTTTTTTTTTTTTTCCGGTACGCAGGCCTCTCACTGTTGTGGCCTCTCCCGTTGCGGAGCACACGCTCCGGACGCGCAGGGTCAGCGGCCATGGCTCACGGGCCCAGCCGCTCCGCGGCATGTGGGATCTTCCCGGACCGGGGCACGAACCCGCGTCCCCTGCATCGGCAGGCGGACTCTCAACCACTGCGCCACCAGGGAAGCCCTGTGGTGGCTTCTCTTGTTGCGGAGCACGAGCTCTAGGCGTGCGGGCTTCAGTAGTTGTGGCTCGCAGGCTTAGTCGCTCCGTGGCATGTGGAATCTTCCCAGACCAGGGCTCGAACCCGTGTACCCTGCACTGGCGGGCGGATTCTTAACCATTGCACCACCAGGGAAGCCCCACAAATCCATCAACTTTGACAGAAGGTTTTGTTCTGTTTTTAATGCTGTGGTTGAGATTAACAAAAATTAAGAAGTCTGACAATACTAACTAAATGAAGAAGATGTGAATCAGTGGGAATTCTTCACATTACTGGTAGGAGT